TGGCAATACTGAAAGCCATGGATCTTTGTACTTCCTGAGTTATGTTAGGAAAAGAACTCAGCAGTCTGGACAGAAATTTCTGCCAGATTTTCTGTAAATGGGAAGTCTTTGTTCCTTGAGTGTTTCGTTTTTGCTACACAACATTATTGAAGTGGTAACAAGGAAAATACTGTTCTTGATCATAATGTGGCCTGGTGAATCCACTGTGGTAGACTGACAAAAGTGGGAAGGTTTTCCCAAAACTGGATTGTTTTGCTCTAGGGGAAGAAATGGATGTAGGAATATTCTGTTTTATTTCACACTGAATGTAACCATTGCATTGAACAGAACATTTAGTTCAAAAAAGCTATTCTAAAATGCATTGCCTCCACCATCAAAGAACAAGAAACCATCTTACAGATCCTCTACAGAGTTAATACTGAAGATGTTTCATGGCAGTTTTGCACTTTTTTTGCAGCCTGTGGCTTCTAAAATTACTGTGACTATGCAAATGTACATCTCTCTGCTGTTATCTTACCTAAACTCTTTCCCATTTGCCAATTTTATTTTCTTCAGCACTTTATCTGGTTGCACTAGTTTTCCTGAGGGAGGGCAGTCACTGTGTTGTTTGTACAGTGCCTGGTGCAATGGGCTCCTAAAATCTATTTAGGATCCTTATGAGGTAGTGCAATAGAAATAATAAACATTTTATTTTAACAAACAATAGAAAACAGTGTCTTTGAGAACAAGCTGAAGAATAGCAGCCTTGTGGCATGAAAATACTTCCAGCAGGGTGGAAAAGAAAAGATTTTCTGTATCTATCTAACCTCTTTCTGGTGTTACACTTCCTTGTCACTTTTCAATGCAATCTGGCCATTTACAACTTGTCATCTTATTTACCTTAAGTTGATGTAAAATAATTGTCAAATAGATTTTTCTGTCTCAGAATTCAAATGGAGTGTGGCATTCCAAGAGCATTGTGTGAACCCTGTTTTCTACAACATGATGCTGTAACATAAAACTAGCAACAATAATGCCAAGCAACACAATCATTTTAGGTCAGTGATATTGTACTTCCTTTTAGAGGGGGTTATTTTTAACTTGTAACAACTTGAACATAGAACCAGTAATTAGTATCTATGAATGAGCCCAGCAAGTCTGTAAAATTAAAAACTGAAATTGCCACTGAAATTCCACAGTTACTGTGGGAACTTTCCACTGGTGCACATAGCGTTTCATAATTACAGCCACAACTTTGGTGTCAACCCTTGCAATGCTGGCAGGTGAACCTGAACTGAAGCTGCAGTCAAGAAAAGAACTTCAAGTGACCCCATAAGGGTGTCTCTGCACAACTGATCTCAGGACGTGAATCTGATCTCCTTCAGATGCCCAAGTTTATCTTTCCCTGGCATCCGCCTGCTCTGTGGAAAACGTGCTGATGCTTCATTGGTTTCAAAATTAGCAGGCTCTGTCTCTAACGTCAAGACACAATCGAATGACAAAATAAGTCAGATGGTGGATTCCTGACATTCTCAAAGTATTTCACCAGCATTCCATAATTTGTATTATTTTATTTCTTTGTCAACTGCTCTCACCCTGGAGGAAGGAAAGAAAATAGATTAAAAATGTCTTTAATAAACTATTGGGCCAAGCTCCAGCATCAAAATGTACTTGCCCAAAGTCTAACTTGAGGGGTCACTAAAGTTTTACTATTGCTATTTATGGTAGTGCTCTCCATATTCCAGCCACTTAAGGACTGTCCTGACCGTGATGCTTATAACCATTTGTTGTTACACAAATACCAGAAAGTCAGTGCCATCACCAAAGACCTTACATTCAAAGCAGGTAAGACAGCTATAAGGTAGTGAACGTAGAGAGGCATGCACAGTGCCTCCCAACGATCACACCGCAGATCACTGGGACAGTTGGGAGCAAAATCTTTATCTCCCCACTTATGGGTCACTGCCTTGTCCATGGTACCACAATGACTCCTCAAGATTCTCCCATGGACAGTGAACTCTGGAAAACAAACCTTTCACATATAGCATGCAGGCCATTAGAAGGCCACCTTCTTAACAATGGCAGAGGCTGAAATGTGACATGATAGCTAGAGTAATGCAGAAGATCTTCTAGTAGCTTATTCTTCTTCTTGCAAACTTTGACATATGTAATTAGAAAAGCCTTCCAGTGACAATTCCAACACATCAAGGAAGAAAGCATTTTCCATTAAGAGGCTGGAGAGTCACAGGGTGGATGTCAGGCATTTGCAGGACCAGAAAAATTCCTTCCACATCTCTCCTGTGAACTTTGTTAGGACTATAAGAAGGAAGTGCTCTTCCTGCAGGCCCTACACAACTTGCAAAGGAATGAAAGGGATGGAATAAGCAGAAGGAACAGAAGAAAGCTGGGAAGGCTCACTTTTCCTCTTGCAGAATACATAAGACATTGTTGGAGACATCTTCTAGAAATGACCGGATGATGTGACGAGTTAAGGCTTAACTCATCCACTTTCCTTTCGTGAGTTTTAGGGGCCACCTTCACTCTCCAACCCATACACTACTACCCCTAGAACAACTTTAGGAGTCTGGAAAACATTTCAACTATAAACTGGAATTACTGTTTTAGCAAGTGATTTTTCTACCAAAATTATTCTACAGGTAGACCCATCAGCACAGATTGCTCTATTTCTTTCAAGTACTTAAATACAAATCTATTATATCTTGTTATTATTACAGTAAAAGTTATGGCCACATGAAATACCTGGAAACTTCTGTTTGTGCATCTCATCAAGAAAGAGCTTGCACTTTAACTATGACAGAACAATATTTGTCTACAAAGACTGAGTGGACCTGAGGTTGTGAGATGAAAAAGCTCAGCCTTGGCGACAATCAAGTAAGAAATGCATTATTAAAACAATGCTCTGACATAACATTTTTTATGTACTGAGAAAAACTTTTAAACTGTCATTTTTTTTGCTTTAGAATTAAAACAGTCTGGATGCCTCAGCTGGTCATGAAGCTGATTCATCCCATGCCATTTTCACACTTGCTCTTCCTAAGACCCACTCTATATTCCTTCGATTTCTTCAGATTTTAAGTAGAAAAATCACCATTATATTATTTTCTTGTAAAGCTCTTATGGAATTGGGCAAAGTAAAAACTATCATGTGAAATCCCACATGTTCACCAACAGGTGGAGCTTACATTTTGTATTTCATTTATAATGACTTTTAAATTCAAATAATAATATATTATGACAAATACTTTACACCTCACAAACTCCAGTGTTTCAGGTAAGATTAGGACCATGACATTTTATTCCAATATTCCACTGTATGTAAACAATAAACCCTAGGCCAGCTCCTTTTCTTACTGACATCAGTTGCAAAGTTGCCTATGTTTTTAATGACTGCATAATTAGCTCCATTTTCATTTTTCTTTAAATGTGGCCCCTTCGCATTACCTTCTCTTTCCTGTTGACTCCAATAATGTTCACACAGGTACTATTTATCTCAAATGCATAGGTTTCAACTGTGATAAACTTGATTGATCTCAGAACACGACTGAACACACATCTGTAAAGAGATATTGATGCAGATATTGTGTATAAACCTTCTTCCACTTAATTCTTCACAGGAAAACAATGAAATACATTACAGCATCTGCTGTTATTATTTAACTAGAACAGGCTATTGATGGCAGAAGCTATGTCTAATGCACAAAGCTATTTAGAATTGCACCCATTATTTATCCTGAGTGAGGAATTACTTTTTGCAAATCCCTTAATGTCTTCATTTTCTTACATCTACCTAGCAACATCCATGATTATCTGTGGCTTTCTAGTAACTGTTCAGCTTTCTGAAACACCTTCTTAGCATACACTTGCACTGTGATAATAATCACCAAGCACAGAATTATAAAGGCAAAATGGAAGAAGAACCTTATAATTCAAAAATTGTTCAAAAGTGCCGTGAAGAAGGGAACTTCCTTAATCCACTGTGACAAAAGATATTGCAGAAATACTCTGCCAAAATGGCTTCTGATCCTACCAATGAATTTTAGGATGAGCAAAACCGGACAATGTTTAGGAATACATACATAGATATAAGTATACCTGCACATATATATGAACACATGCACTTTTATGTTGGTACAGTATACTGTAGCTGAAATTTTACTGCAACATGCAATTGTTCAGTTTATGGAATTACTTATAAGAACACTATTATTACATGTTTCTTCAATGCTAATTTCCCAGTCAGATCAAGACATATGGCTCCAATTGGAAAAAATTTAGATATACAGAAACAAAGAAGCATAAGCATTCATATTTTCAAAGGAAATGAACTACAGGTTCTGGTCGTACTCTTAAATTAATCTCAATACACAGAAATAAGCAAAGCCAGACATTTGCGCAGTATCCAGATCACCTGAAAAACAGCCTAGCGATTGGCTCACTCAAATTAAAAAGACCCCAGAGCTCCATCTAAGTCCAGTTCAATTTCAGACTGAGCTGCAAATCTGTGAACTTGCACTCCCATTCAACTTCCATGCCTTTTGAAAAGACACCATCAACACCCACGTGCCTTTTCCTGGAGCCTGCAGGTTTTAACAGTTCTACCTATCTGAAAGGGCGTCAGAAAAGTCACGTTACCAAAGAAATGGACAGAGTCCACTTTAACCCACAATGACGGCCGCCGAATGTTTTTTTATTGCCTAGAACCACCTCTGCCGTGGTGACGCACACCCAGTCTGCCATTTCAGGCCCACCACTGCGGCCCATCCCCGCCGGCAGGGCCTACAGCTCCACCGGGGCCTGGCTCCGGGACCTCCCGCCTCTACGCAGCGGGAACCCTCCCCGGCAGCCACGAGAGCGTCAGGAAAGTGAAAACTTTCTGAAAGTTTTACACTGGGTGCGCAGAAAGCCCTCCGAGGCCGCGGAACCGCAGGAACACCCACCGCCCCGCACTCACCGCGCATGCGCGGGCACCTCCCTGCCCGGGGCGCATGCGTGGCCCTCCCTCCCCCGGGACAGCGAGCCAATTAACGCGCTGAACAGGCACAGGCGCCTTTAGGGAGACGCGCGGGGGGCAGAGGAGAGGCACTTCCTTTTCCGGGTGAGCTCCCACTCTGCGCCGCAAGGGACGGCGGCGCTGCCGGCGTGCGCCTCCGAGCTTTCCTTTACCGCAGCAGCGGAGGGAGCAAACGCGCGTGCGGCCGCGTGGCGCCTCCGCCCC